ACACTTAATATCAGAGATGTAGAAGAAGTAACAAAAAACGAAGTATATGATATTCCAATAATAAATATACTAGAATATTCTGATATCCACATATGTACCTTTCATGATGCTATTATAACAATCTACAAATATCCTGTAATAAGAAATAAATGTAAAATGTATAATCTAACCCCATTAGCCTTTAAATATGGAAAATATCAACTTAACAACAAAATAGCTTTATGTAATAATACATTCAACAACTTATCAAAATGTAAAAACTATGTAGGCACACATATTTGTAAAAAAGAACCAAAGGATAATTGTACTATTCCTTTATTATTAAAACAAAATGCTCACTGTAATATTATCCAAGAAAATAACATTCCCTTACAAATATTAGATAATGGTAACATTATTATAGACTATGAACACATATGGAACGGACTCAAAGTAAACGGTCCACATTTAATCCAACTCAATTTTAATACAACTATTGATAATAAAACTTATATTAACCATAAACAGGAAATAAAAAATGTAATACATGCCCATCAAAACGAAAAAGTTAATATATTGAAAATTTTAAACTCCGAATCAGATTATAAATTTACCAATATACAAGAAATGTAGAAATTAGTGATGCCAATTGAAGAACATCCTTGGAAATTTACTTTATATTTAACCATAATAATAATTATACTAATTATAATTATACTTAATTATAAGATTACATACATATCGACAACTACAATTAAGCACCAAACGTCGAAGAAACTTCGAATTAGCTTACCTAACCGAATTACAAAGATGTCAAAACCTAAGCCCTTCGAAATGAGGACATTTCATTTTTAACACCGGGGAGAGTTAACGACGTTAATACATACACTACATACATAGCTAACATGCCTGGTCACATACATTACATATATACATAAACTATAATGTACAAATAAACATGTTTGTCTCATAAGTAACAAAAGAATATAATAACACGAAAACACGTAAACAACCTACTGATAAACTATAACATGTTTGTCTCATAAGTAACAAAAGAATATGATAACATTGTAAACAACCTTCAATAACAAATTTAATCATTAAACCAATAACAAACACCATTTATCATCAGTAGTAGAAATGGTATAAATAGATGTAAGCATAAACACGTAAGGAGTTCGAGATTATACGAATTCAAATAAAGAGCTCTTGCTCAGAAAAATATAAAAATATTTTTTTTTTTTTGATAACTTTCCTGACTTGAGTATTAAACTCCCGCGAAGAAATGATATTGGTCGTCGGTCGCGTAGAACTCAAAATACATCAAATGAAAGGCAAAATCAATCACAAGAAGAGCGAGAAATTCAAAACCAAAATCAAAGGGAACGTATGGCCAGATCACGTTCAGGCCATTCACCTGAAGAACGTATACAACGTAATGAGCACGATAGATTAAGAATGCAAGCGCATCGTGCAGCAAGAAATGTTAATGAAAATGCACAAAGACGACAACAAGCAGCACGAATCAATGTTAATATTGATTTGAACGGTGCTGGATTTCAATATAACAATGCCATTGATTATAGTTTGCATAAATTTGTGGTTATTGGCGCAATGGACAAAATATGTCAGTATTGTAATGCAGTGAAATTTAAAACTGAACCTCCTGGAATGTGTTGTACTTCTGGGAAAGTACGACTACCAGAATTACAATATCCACCAGAACCATTAGCTTCACTGCTTTCTGGCTCAACACCTCAATCAAATCATTTTTTGGATCACATTCAAATGTACAATTCATGTTTTCAAATGACGTCTTTTGGTGCGACGAATATAATAAGAGATAATTTTATGCCGACCTTCAAGGTAATTTCAACATCAAGCATTTCAAATGAAAATTTTGAAATAGACAATCTATCATCTGAATATTTTGGCTCTACATTACAGATACAAGGGCAAATTTACCACAAAATCGGTTCCTTGCTGCCATTCCCAGATGCTAACTATAAATTTTTGCAAATTTATTTCCTTGGCAATAATCAAAATGAAGTCGATACACGTTGTGCATTTTTTAAAAGTGTCAGAAGATTGATAATTGAAGAATTGCAAGCAATATTTCATGAACATAACGAATTGGTTACTACGTTTAAGACAGCACTTGATCAAATGCAATCTGATGATCATAAAATTGTGATTAGAGCTGACAGAAGACCGATCGGTGAACACGAACGAAGATTTAATGCACCGCTTAATAATGAAATTGCTATTGTGATTGTTGGTGAAGAATTTCAATCACGTGATATTGTATTGCGCCGAAGAAATAATCAATTACAACGTGTATGCGAAACGCATCGCTGTTATGACGCACTACAATATCCAATTTTATTTTGTCGAGGCGAAGATGGATACTCTGTCAATATAAAAATGGTTGATCCAGCAAATCCACGTGAGTTTTTGGATTAATGATGATTTTCAATAATTTTCTGTGTCATGTTTTATCATTCTATTTGCTTTGCTATTTTTTCAGAACGTGAAGTAAATAAAAACGTAAGCGCCATGAACTATTATGCATATAGAATTATGATACGACAAAACCAGGAAAATCATATTTTGAAAGCCCGAAAACTATTTCATCAATATATCGTAGATATGTATGCAAAGATAGAAACAGAACGTTTGAATTTCATTCGATTTAATCAAAGGAAGTTGCGCTCAGAAGAGTATATCCATCTCAGAGATGCGATCAATAATGACAGAAATGTAAACAATATTGGACAAATGGTAATTTTACCATCGACCTACACAGGGAGCCCCCGTCATATGCATGAGTACGCACAAGATGCCATATGTTATGTTCGTTGTTATGGTCGGCCTGATTTATTTATAACATTCACGTGCAATCCAAAATGGGAAGAAATTAAGAAATATTTGTATCCCGGACAATCTTCTACTGATCGCCATGATATCACTGCAAGAATATTTCGACAAAAACTCAAGTCACTTATGGATTTTATTGTCAAATATAAAGTTTACGGAGAAGTTAGATGCTCGATGTACTCTGTCGAGTGGCAAAAGAGAGGTTTGCCACACGCGCATATTTTAATATGGTTAGTGGACAAAATTACAACCGATCAAATAGATGATGTAATCTCAGCTGAGATTCCGGATCAGACAATTGATCCAGATTTATTTGATGTTGTCACTAAAAATATGATACATGGCCCGTGTGGTGTGATAAATGTCAATTCACCATGTATGCAAGATGGCAAATGTACGAAACGATACCCTAGAGCACTCATTTCTGAAACAATTACTGGAAATGATGGATACCCTCTATATCGTCCACGTTCAACACAGGATAACGGCAAATCAATAACTTTACAAGTGAATCGTCAAGATTTTGAAATTGATAATAGATGGGTAGTTCCCTATTCGCCATTGCTATCGAAAGCGTACAAAGCTCATATCAATGTAGAATATTGTAATTCGGTCAAATCGATTAAATACATTTGCAAGTATATTAACAAAGGCAGTGACATGGCTGTTTTCGGAGTTGCAGAGAACCGAAATGATGAAATAACTCAATACCAAATGGGCAGGTACATTAGTAGTAACGAGGCAGTTTGGCGAATTTTTTCTTTCCCCATTCATGACCGTAGTCCAGCTGTTATTCATTTAGCAGTTCATTTGGAAAATGGACAGCGTGTGTATTTTACTGTTGATAATGCTCAGGCAATTGTAGAGCGACCGCCATCAACCACATTAATTTCTTTTTTTAAATTATGTGAAAGAGATCAATTTGCTAAAACACTGCTTTATTCACAAGTACCAACATATTACACATGGAATGTAAGTTCAAAGACATGGGAAAGACGTAAAAGAGGAAAACCTGTTGATGGTTATCCTGGTGTTTTTGAAAGTGACGCCATAGGACGACTTTATACAGTGCATCCTAGCCAGGCTGAATGTTTTTATTTGCGTCTTTTATTAATTAATGTTCGTGGACCAACGTCTTTTTTGAATTTGAAAAGAGTTAATGGGCGCCTCTGTCAAACTTACTGGCGAGCATGTGAAGAATTGCATCTACTTGAAGATGATAATCATTGGGATGCAACATTTGCACATGCATCCGCAACAGGTACACCGCATCAAATACGGACATTATTTTCAATTATTGTTGCAACATGTTTTCCATCTGATCCATTGCAACTGTGGCAAAGTTATCGTGATTATATGACCGAAGATATCTTGAATAGAATGCGTCGTATTTCTGCAAATCAGGAATTACTCATTACACTGGAAATGTATAACGAGGCATTGATTATTATTGAAGATATGTGCTTAGCAGTTGCAAATAAATTATTGTCACAATTAGGTTTACCACCTCCTAATCGAGCAATGCATGACGTATTTAATCAAGATATGCAACGTGAACAACAATACGATATAAATGATCTTAACACATTTATAAATTTGAATCTGCCGAAATTGAATATAGAACAAAAACATGCATATGACACTATAATGCAAGCTATACAAAATAAAAGTGGAGGAATGTTTTTTTTAGATGCGCCAGGTGGCACCGGTAAAACGTTTTTGATTTCGTTGTTATTAGCGACTGTACGATCACAAAACAATATAGTATTAGCGCTTGCATTATCTGGAATAGCTGCTACATTATTAGATGGTGGCCGTACAGCGCATTCCGCACTTAAATTACAATTGAATATGCAAATTAATGAAAATCCAACATTTAACATTTCAAAAAATTCTGGAATGGGAAGAGTTTTGCAACAATGCAAATTAATTGTGTGGGATGAATGTACAATGGCACATAAAAAATCAGTGGAAGCATTGGATAGAACTTTGAAAGATTTACGTAATAATCAAGAAATATTTGGTGGCGCTTTAATATTATTGTCTGGTGATTTTCGTCAAACTTTGCCAGTAATTCCCCGTTCAACACCAGCAGATGAATTAAAAGCATGTTTAAAGACATCCCATTTATGGAGGCACGTAAAAACTTTGGCCCGTAGTCATAGTCAAAATAAAGTCGACTTTAAAGTTAGTTGCAGCTTTTTGACATAATTTTCAATGGGATATCTGTCAAAAAAGCTGCAACTAACTTTAAAGTCGACTTTATTTTGACTATGACTACGGGCCTTTGACTTTGAAAACAAATCTGCGAGTTCATTTGCAAAATTATGCATCGGCTGACGAATTTTCAAGACAACTTCTGAAGATAGGAAATGGACAAATTCCTATTGTTGCTGCTACTGGCTTAATCACTTTACCAGATAATTTTTGTAATTTCGCACACACAAAACAAGAATTAGTTTCAAGTGTTTTTCCAAATATTGCGCAAAATTATCAAAATCACAATTGGTTAGCTGAAAGAGCAATACTGGCTGCGAAAAATAAGGATGTTGGTCAATTGAATGCGAATATTTTAAATGATGTGCCTGGTGAGATTGTAACATTTAAATCAATTGATACAGTTTTAAATCAAGATGACGCTGTAAATTATCCAACAGAATTTTTAAATTCCTTGGATTTACCTGGACTGCCGGCTCATCGCTTACAATTGAAAGTTGGTGCACCAATTATTTTACTTAGAAATTTAAATCAGCCACGATTGTGTAACGGAACAAGATTAGCAGTCAAAAAGGTCATGAATAATCTTATTGAAGCAACAATTTTAAAAGGAAAATTCAAAGGTGAAGACGTATTGATTCCGCGTATTCCACTGATTCCACCAGATTTAGCTTTTGACTTCAAAAGATTGCAATTTCCAATACGTCTTGCATTTGCAATGACAATAAACAAAGCACAAGGACAATCGCTGGAATTATGCGGAATTGACTTAGAATATCCATGCTTCTCCCACGGACAATTATATGTATCATGTTCACGTGTAGGAAAGCCATCAGTTCTGTTTATTTATACCACAACTCAGGGCAAAACAAAAAATGTAGTTTACGAAAAGGCTTTGCGTTAGTTTAAGTTTAAAATTAACATTAATTTTATATTGTAAAAAAAGAATAAAACACATACAGTAAATTATTATTATTCATTTCTAATTTTGATATGCCTAGCGAAGCAGGCAGAGGGTCCGCTAGTTTTATTATAAAAGCAGTGTTTGTGCACTGAAATAAACAGACTTGTTTTGAATCAAGAATCGGCAGCATTGCCTCGTTTTTCTAACTTGTCTCATCAATAAAAATAGGCCTTGAGGCCATCATCCTGTTAGCGTGGCTCGCTTAAAAGCCAAAAGTTAAAAATACTAAAAAAGGGAAATTAATCAAAAACCAAACTTAACATGGCGATCCTGCCAAATTGGCACAAAATGACATCTGCAGTTGTGGCATTTCTGTTATTGGAAGAATGCTGTTTTGCGTTGCATTTTTATGATTTCCCCTAGTTATGAAGAAATATATGAGTAATTAATATTTGTTTTTATAAAATAAACCTCCATTTACTCACATTTTTACAAAATGTCAAACTGCAAGGGATAAAAACTAAAAAACAAAAACCCAAGATCCCTCGAAGAAGAAAATATAGATGATGAATATGTCCCT